GAGACAGCCCAAAGAAAAGCAATGATGAGTGAGTGTAAAAGTGGGCCTTCCAACTAGAAAAAAGAAAATGAAGATGGTAACTCTTGCCCCATATCCACCTTTCAGCTTCCTTCCTGGGGTGGCTTTGTACTTTCCTCCTTCCTTGCCCCACCCATGTGCAGGTCTACTACAGTGAAGGCATTTAAGGATTTATGAATAGATAAGTTAAATTGATACCCATGCTTTCTGGCTTCTCTACAAGCAGATAAGGTTGTCATTGAATAGCCAGCACAAAAATCAAACAAAAGAAATATAAATTAAACCCACACACATGCCCCTCACTCTTCCTTCTTTGTTCCCAAATGTCATTCAACAAAATAGACAATGAACACCACGCAAAGTGACCCAGTGGAGAGACTTGCTTCCCTGTCTCTAGGGCTGTATTCCATAAATTATTTCCTTGGAGTCATTTCCTTCCTCCAGGAGCTAAGCTATTTTTAATATAAAACCTTTTATAGCAATGCCTTACATCTTTACAGAAAGATGTTCAGTGTTTGAACCTTAGTGTCCCCTCCCTAAAATACCTTATCCACACACAGTTTTAAGATTTTCATTGCAGAGACACTATGTATAAATGTCCAGTCCACAAACTGTTCTCCTAGAACCACACCTCTCATGGACTCTGACAACCACATTTGTGACAATATTATTCTCCTGCATCTCACCACCCCTAACCACCCTGCTAGGGCCCCTGAGCCAAGGTAGACAATCAGGTTTTTTCATAGGTAAGGAAAATAGGGATTCCGGAATGTTACTCAAACCTCTGCTCATCCTGAAGTGGCCATTATGGGGCAGCCATCTTGAGCTATGTATGTGAAATATCAGCAAAAGCTGGATTGGAACAAAAGAGGGGAAGAAATAAAGAACATAAGCAAAGAAGCAAAACCAGAGGTCATAAAGTTCAAAGAAGGAATACAGCAGCTAGCCTGTATATAAAGGACTTTCTAGGTGATGGCTTCCAGTTTTCTGAGAGCACTGACTACATTTCTTGCTCGTGCATCCTGAGAGATATCCTGATCTTCACAATCTACCCCATCTCTGCAAAAAGCAGCTTGTGACTAGGAATGGAATTCCTGACATCACATGAGAAGACGCAGCCAAAACTATTATTGCTCAAGAGTAGAGAAATAAACCTACCACCTTGCCACCCACTTTGTTTTATTCATAAATGTTGTGCCATTTCATCACTCTTCTGCATTGTTGCCAGGAAAGAACCCATCTGTGTGTTTGCATACAGGGGTCCATAGCCACTCGGGTCAGAGACCCTAACAGCCAACCCGGTTAATACAGACTTTCCTAAAAAATAACAACAGGGAAACCCTGGCACAGACTCCATTAACTCATCACATATACTCAGTGGACTCGTTTCACTCAGTGGAGGTTTCTTCTTTTTTTAATAAAACTTGAGACTTAATCAAATGTGAACTAGAGGATCCTACAAGTCAAAAATACGTGTGAACAGAAGCTTGCTCACCACTGTACCTCCAATTCCTGCACATCACTCCATAGAAGGAACATCCCATAAACACCTGCTGAGTACATAAAAGGATGACAAACAGCAAAGTTAAGAACACAGATTCTTGAGAGAGAGATCCAGGTCACACTCTCACATCTCATTTAAAGCCTTAAAACACTGACAAAGGCTCAGGATTCTGCTAACACCTTGTTGTGTATGTTACTGTATTTAATGTTCCTTCCCCCCACAGCTTTGTCTAAGGCATTATTTACACTTGTTGAAACCTAAGCAACTTACCCAAGGCCACAAAGTTTGGAGTTAATTTCAAGCCTAAGCTCTTACCCCTCTCATAAACTGCTTGTCACCAACTTTGAGACTTTGGGAAAATTATTCAGGCTTTAATGTGCTAAGATTGTGATTTGGAAGATTAAGAAGGTAGTGCTTAATGCCGAGCCAGACAGAGTAAATCGTTCAATAGAAAGTATTCATATTATTATTAGAATTACTCACTGGTGAGTCTACAGTGAAATGCTTTAAGCAGAGGGACTTTTGGTTCTATAAATTACACGTTCACTGGAAAACAGCCATTTACAAGATCTAGGCAGCCAAAGAAAAAGCAGCGAATTATAACCCGTATTTATCTTGGATCAAGTCTAAACTTCCCCCAAGGGAGTAACAGATAAGAACGCCTTTGCTGAAAGAAATGATCATGCTTGAAGTTAGGGGGCGCCATACTGCTGTACATTATAGCAAACCTCTTCCCCAAGGGTCTTTAGCGCCCTGAACTTTTCTTCCAAGGAAAACCAGGTAGACAAATTCTGGCCAACAATAACTTTTTGCAGGGAAATAGACAGCCTAGTATTTCTTTCCGTATTCTTCCACTATTTTGATTTTAGGTCCAGTACATTTTCTTGTTCATTCCCAGTTTATTTGCTATTCCCTCCTTGAGATAATACAGCATTATGACATTATTCAGTGACCTTTAAAAGTCCAGCAAAAACACTAACAATTTTTTAATTAGGGTGTATGCATTCATAAGCATAACCTCAAGAAATGTAAAGTACCTCAAAAACAATTGGTCTAACTAAATGCATACACCAGCAATTGTTGAAGCTGGGATGGGATCTCATATAGCTTCTCTACATTTGTATGTATTTGAAATTTTCCTCAATAAAAGGTTCCCAGTAAGTTCAAAATATAGGTACAAATTCTGCCTTCGCAAAATTTAGTTTTTACTGAAAACTTGCTTATAGGATGAAGCTAGAAACTGGATCCATCTGTATCACTGCTCTGGGAAGCAGCACAACATGAAGGAGGGAGAAAAGGTAATGAAGGAAAAAATGTTAGGGTAAAGTTACAGTAATCGAGATCATATAGAAATGCAGTGTGTTCCCACAGTGCTTTAATAATGACCGTCAAATGAGAGACCTGAGGCCACAGATTCCTTTATTCAAGCAAATTAAACTTTTTGCTTTGTTTTGCTCTTCTTATACAAATCATTTGCTGAGGCTTGGTTTGCATTTGGTTCTAATTGGCCAGGAATGTTCCAGTCTAGAGGTGAGTTTTCTAAAGGGCAAAAATGAAGTGCCTTATGCCAAAGTAGCCAAAGTACAGCTGAAATCTGGGAATAAGCAGATGTCTCTTCAGTGGACAAGATGAATCTTCTCTTATCAACTCAGTCAAAAAGTTATTATTCCGTCCAGAAGATAACCCATAATTACAGAATCCTATCTGGAGCTCTTTCTTTTTCCTTACCCTGATTTACACAGTGCTTTTCATTCCATTTCAGTTAAATTCCATACTGAAACCCTACCCCCGTGCATTAAGTCAAAACTAAATAAAAATATTTAACTTTCAAGTATTTTAGTGACCTCATTCTACCAATTAATGTGGACCTCCCTCGGAGCAAAATCTGTTCCTAGAATGCTGAGGAGGGGGCGGCGGGGGAGGGGGTCCCAACCCCTGCATTTAGAAGAAACTTTTAAAACCTGATAAGCCATTTGCTCTTCCAGGTTGAAGCCACAAGTGCCCCAGCCACCCTGGGGATGACCCTCCACTCCCCGCCCCCCCAGACAAACAAGGTCACTGGCACAAAAACAAAACTGATCTAAAGACAAATGACTTTCTCATCCGGCACCAAAGGAAGGAATACTTTGCCATCATTCTAAGCAGCCCAGTAACTCTGAACTTTTCCCAAATCGAAGTAAAATTTAGAAAGCAACATTCTCTTCTAAGACTTACTGTCTGTCTGCCCGAAAGGATGCTTTCAGACATTCTACCCATGTCTTCATGGCTTTAAGGTGTACAGCAATCTGCAGCTCCCCACTCCGTACACCCATCTCGACCCCTTCACTGCTACACACTTCCAGTCTTTCCTGTTTGCCTTTCTCTAAGAGTGCTCCCTTCAGTTTGTTAGAGAAATTAACAGTACTCTATCACAAGATCACTTTTTACACTGAGGAAGCGTAACACTTATTGTCTAAGAATGGTACACAGCTGGATGTTCATCGTCCCTCACACTCAAGTGCACTCCGCCTCGCTGTTTTTCACTAAAAGTTTTCCATCTTCCTGGGTTCCCCTTAACCAGACCACAATACAAGGGCAACTTACTCAAAACTGCCACTAGAAAAGTGGCTGGACTATGAAGAATGACTTAACTTATTAGCAAGACTATCCCAAAGTAATGGACATGTGCCGACATAATGGCACCTATATGTCCCCATATTTCTGCTGATCTACCCGCAAACGTTTCCAAAATAAATTACCAACCACCCAAAGAATCATTTCTGGCCGGGTAAAGAAAAACAATGTTTCTATCCAGAAGTACTTGACTACTCTTTCATAAGCACTTAGTTGGTTACTGTGAGTGGTCACAAATGCTTAAGAAAAGGAAGGTGTGCATCAGAAGACAATTTTGTCAAGTAGATGGTCTAACAGTGTCCCAAGTAAGAAAGAGGTCAAGGGCAGCACTCAGAAGTGAAGAGGGGTTTCATCTTTCACAGGTCAAACGCTTCCTACCCACCCCTGCCAAGCTCTACAGACCAACTGCCCCAGTGCAAAGTCACACTTGACTCCAGAATTAAGACTGCTCTTGTAGGAATCCCTTCTGACCACAGTGAAGGGCATTATTAGGTGGCTAAAGCAGGCACTCGACATCCTGAATACATATGTGTCTCAGATCACACACCGTGTTTCTAACATCCTTTCCTTCTTTGGATCTTTGACAATCCCCCTGTCTTAAAATGGGACCAGAAGTTACAGTTCTTCGGCTTGTATCACCAACCAGAGCATTCTTTCAAAGTCACAGAAGGCCATCACCATACACCTGCGCCCCCTTTAACAAGGGCTTTTACTCAGAGGAGTTGAGCGGGGTAGGGTTGGGGTGAGCAGTGGAGTTGTAGGGTGGAGAGAGAATCCAAGCCGATTTGTTAATTAAAAACCAAAGTTCGCTGCAGCCCAGCATACAACTGACCCCGAACGCCTCCCGCTCCCTTGCGAGTCCTACCTTGGACCTCTCCTTGACGTAGTATTTGCCCAGCCGGCTCCCGCAGTACAGGACCAGCCGGTCGATGAGAGACAAGAGGAAGCTGATGGCCTCGCAGCCCTCCTCGTTGCCCCCGATCCACGTGATCTGGTCGCCTCGCAGGTGCCGCTTGGAGACGCCAGCACGCGGCCCGGCCAGCTGGCCGTCGCGCAGGACCCCGTTGTAATGCAGCTGTTTCACGCGCTCCAGGACGCAGTCGCCCACCACCTCGCCCAGGAAGTTGTCCAGGTAGCAGAAGCCGATCTCGTGCAGACAAGGCACGATGTACTCCAGGGCGATTTTCTCCAGATCCAGCCTCATGATGTGTCCCAGAGGCATCTCGCCCTCAGCCTCGAGGTCGGGGACCCCCAGGGTGCAGCCGGAGAGGAAGCGACCTACGCGAGCGCCGAGCCGAGGTTCGGGGAGCGGAGCAACCTGCGGCGGCCACGGTCTCCGAGCCACCGCAGCGCCGCGGACGGAGGGGAAAGTTGCTCGCAAACTCTGGGGAGAAGGGATCCCCGGTGAGGGAGCCGCGGGAGTTGCGCGGGGCTCCGGCACCCAGCGCCGGACTGGCCCAGTGAGGAGTCCGAGGGCCCCTTTTGGAGCTGCGGAGCCACCACAGCTGCGGTGGCCCGAGGCGGGGAGAGGCTGAGGTCCGGCCCCCGAGCCGGCTGGCTGCACGCGTCACGGCCCCGCCCCGGGACCGCCTCCGGGACAGCCCTCCCCGCCCGTCTCCCCGCCCTCCCTCGCCGGTCGGCGGCTGGTCACCCCGCCTGGTCTACCCTTCGCAGGCGATCCCGGCGAGCCCCGCGCCTCCCTCAGTTGTTTGTAACCAGGGGAGGGGCCGGAGAACAGATGGAATTTTTGGAAGGTTTTCGATTTGCATATTGTTTTGCATAAAATCCCACAGCAAACTTGAAAACCCGGATCCCTCACTCTGAGATGTAAATGCAATTAACAGCGCAGTTCACGTCCACGTTCAGGACTAGTCACTTTCCTGGGCAGCATAATACAATACAAATGTACACTACAATAATAAACCCAGGAGCAAATATATTGATGAAACAGTGGTCTCGGTCTAGCCTGACGTGGTGCCTTTCCTCTGCTGTTTGATCCAGGTCAGGAGATTTCGGCCACGGGAGAAGTAGGAAGAAAAGAATTAAGATGTGTCATGTATATGTACTAACTTTCCCGAGATGAATGTAATTATCATGCGCTATTAACATGTACCAATAAAGATAAAATAAAATTTTAAAAATCAGGCTAACACATGAACAGACATCTCCCTTAGCCCCTACTGTGTGTGCAAGCTTAGACAACGGGGATGCGTACAATGAGGAAATGCTGGGTCATAGTACTTTGCTTTGCCAGATATTTTTATCCACTTACCGTTCAAACTTCTTACTAAAATATGATGTTCTGAAATTCTACCTTCAAAATTAATCACATGCTCCTGTAACAGTAGACACTGACCTCCGCCCCTCCCCCGCCTGCCCCCGCAGAAGATACGTAGTATTCCAGGTCTCTGCTCTCACTTTTTCCACATCAGCTGCGCACACGGGAGGGCTGGACCCTGCCTAGCAGACTGTTATCCACAGATAAGCTCATTGCTTTTAGGAGTTTTGATTCCCTTTCCTTCTGAACACCACAGATCAGAATTAGAGGGGGAAAGAAGATTCATAAATTGTAGGCAAAACCATTTCTATACTTTTAGCTCTACATTCTTGCCTGCTTCTGTTCATTTAAATTGAACAGATGAATGTACTGGGCTGTCAGGTATTGTTTATTTTGTACACAATCCCCTACAGCTTTTTCACTTTATTCTCTTTCTAGTACCCCTTTCCTCCCTGCCACTCCAGGGGGGCAATATAATATACTTCAGGCCAGGAACAAAAAGGAAAGAGGAGGAAAGAGTACTGCTACAGGACAGAAACAGAGCACTTAGCCAGACAAGGATCTGTGGGGTGTTCCTGAGGGGCAGTCAATGGTAGAAGTTCTGAAAATCTTTGAAAAAACTTCTAGTTATATTGACATGAGGCTCCTGCACATCCAGTCATGAGTTGGTATCTCTGGTGTGATCATTCAGCAGGAGGTAAAGACTGGAATTGGCCAGTGCTCAGGCAGCTGCCCTCTAACACTCCACAGCAGCTCAACCATGACAAGAGTCATCATCCTTGGAACCCTGGTGCACAGCCACAGCAGACACCCAATAAATAGTTCCTGGTAACCCAAATAGTTCCTGGTGACCCTGAGCCATGCAACTGCCACAAAGGATTATGGGCTGGTTCCTGCAAAAAAAGGTCGTGTAAGAGGCGCTGGGAAGGCTCCCTGATGAGAGTTTGCCGGAAGTATCAAGCTGATTAGCCTGGCCCAAAACAAAACCTCAGAGGCCAGTGGAGGGGCATTTGTCCCTCAGGTTTGTCTCCCTGGACAGTCAGTGGTAGACACTCGAGCTCCATGATGGGAAACCTGGTGTGAAAGCTGGCCAGTTGTCTATTTGCAGGAGTGAAATGGAGATGCAATAACAAAGGGGGGGTGTCTCTGCTTGAACCCAGAGAGCCACTTTGGCCCCTTAAGTGGTCTCCTCCAGAGGTGACCAAGAAAGCCTGGTATGAAGCAACCTGAATGTGGGCTCCAGTGGTCAATAGCTTGTGGTTTTCACAGCTTTGGGGACTGTTGTAGAGATCAGAAACAGATATCCCTGAAGAGGGCTAGAATTAAAAAGGAGGAATGACAGATAATCCTTGACAGCTGACCAGAACTTTTCTAGCTGAAGGTTCTTGGTAGATACACTGATACCAGTAGGAATATAATTTGGAGGGAATTTATAAAGGACCAGAAACCTATAGTAACTGGTGAAGATGTTGGACAAAAAAAGAAAAATGCATAAAATTACAAACTTGCCTCCCAGAGTAACATGTTGAGTCCGGATTTTAAATCTTATGACTGGGTAATTACCATTCAAATAATATTTCAATAATTTCCCAGTGAAGCACAGCTAGTCTTGTCACCAAATACAGTTCTAGCAACACAGTCTTAAGCTGTTCTAGATGCCTTTGGTTGCAAAGCATAGTTTAGAGCAGAATTCAATCCCATGGCACTATCCCTACTTGGCAAAGGCACTTATTAATGAACCAAGCCTCTCCCAATCAGCTCGAGGCTGCCGGCACTGCCTCTGGCATAGAAACCAGAGATACTGGAGCTGGCAAAAATTAAAGTATACGATTACACAGAGGGGCACAGACAGGCTGGAGCCAGGCATGGGCTCAGGCTGAGCATCAGAGAGGCAAACCCCCAGCTACTGTTCAAGTGCACTTATTTTAGTTATTTGTCCATTAACCTGTATCACTTTCATAATGAATATTTGCTAGTCAGCTTTCTGTCACTATTACCAAAATAGCTGAAATAATCAACTTATAAGGAGGAAAGATTTTTTTTTTTTATAGCTCATGTTGCAGCCTGTGGGTTCTTGGCCCAAATTCCTAAAGGTTTCTATTACCTCGTGGTAGTGCCACATGCTGGTGACCAAGCCTTTAGCATGTGGGCCTTTTGGGGATGCTTATGATCCAAACCATAACAAATATTAAAATATATTTTCATATTAATAACTAAAACTAATTTCCATGGCATTTAGTCACAACACTGACTTCCAGCACACGTACACTCAAATGCAGTCATCTTCAGCATGTGAAGGAAAAATGAGAAAGGAGGAGGTTGAGTTGCTCTTCCTTGGAATTTGAACTGAAAGGGTTCTTAGTCCCACTTCATTTTTTGCAGATGAGGAAACAAAGGCTCTGAGAGGCTGGACATTAGCAACCTTCCTAAGTGAGAAGACTCTGGTGAGCGGAAGAGGAAACCTAAGATCCTTCTGCCTTTGCTTACAGTGCACTCGCTCTATTTATGTATGCATGTGTTTTATTTTAATGAGGTAAAATTCGCAAAACATAAAACTAATCATTTCACTCAATTTTAATTTTTAAAATTTTTTTTTATTTTAAAGATAAAAGAACGAAAACATATTAACAAACACACCTACATTTACAAAATAGCACAAAAATAATACAAGCAATACAGACTTTCAGACAAAGTGAATTTTAGCCAAAAGACTAAGAAGCCTTTAAAACTAAACTGTGAATTAAGCCATTAAGATGAGCCATGTCAAAGTGAACAATTCAGTGGGTTGTAGTACATTCAGAAGCTTGTGCAACTGCCACCTCTCTCCGTTTCCAAAACGTTTTCACCACCCCCAGAGAAAACCCCATTCCCATTAAACAGCTGTCATCCATCCTCACCTGGCAACCGCTGACCTGCTTTCCTTACACCTGCATGGATTCACCTACACTAGATATTTCTCAGAAATGGAATCATACTCTACATGATCTCTTAGGACTGTCTTCTTTCACTCAGTGTAAGTTGTTTTCCAGGTTTATCCACATTGTACCATGTATGAGTGCTTCATTATTTATGGCTGAGTGATATTTCAGTGTATGGCAATACCATAATTTGTTTATCCATTTATCAGCTGGTGGATATTTGGATTCTTTCCACCTGTAGGCTATTGTGAACGGTGCTGCTATGAACACATGTGCCTAAATATTTGAGTACCTCTTTTCAATTCTTTGGGGCATATACCTAAGAGTGGAACTTTTGGGTCATATGGTAATTCTACATAGTTTAACTTTTTAAGGGACCACCAAACTATTTTCCATTTTCCATTCCCATCACTAATATGAGAGTTTTTCACATTCTTTTTATTTATGATTGAAACTGCCTGCATTTATTATGTCCCAGTAAAGTCCTGCCATGTCTACACTTCTCTCCTTAGCTGGTACCTAAATATTCTTTTTTTGTGTGTTTTTTTGATATACCATATTAACAGAGGTTTATCAGATATTGAATGACTTTAGTGAGGGCAAGGTTATCTGACTTATTGATCAATCACTTTTGTAACATTTTATACTGCATCATAAATTTTCCAAACATAACTTCAAGGAATTCTTATAACACCAAGAAACAGGTACTATTATTATCTTCCACTGTGCAAATGACAAAAATGAGACACAGAAAAACTAAGTTCACAATGAGAAAGTCCTGCAGTGCAGGATGAAGGGGAAATCCCAGTGGAATCAGATGAGGGTAAAAGAGTCACTTTAAGCCGTGCGTTTGGCATAGAAATATATTTGCCCGTAAGTGTTCTTTTCTGTTGTAACTCCTAGTTAGAATACTTTCATCTGTGATGACACTTTTAATTATTGGTTTCCTTACTGATACTTGGCGCAGAGCAGACATAAGCCAAATTTACCATAAATTACTTAGTTGTCTATATTACAAGTCACTTTCCAAACCACAACTTAAGTATTTGCATTTTGCTTTATTTCAACTATGACCCAGGGTTTCCAGACATCAAACACAAATTCTGCTGGGAACAGTCATTAGAAATGAGCTACACCTTGGTCTGCTGGGGTACATGGTTCACCTTCAGGACATCAGAAGTGAGTTCATTTCAGTGCAGCCGGTGAAACAAGATCAGAGTACCCAAAGTGACTTTAATGGTCATTAGAGCACCAGTATAGATGGGGTTAAGGAGCCA